CTGGTGGTGAGTAAGGAGAAAGGAGGAAGCAGGCAGCTGATTCTGCCATGGTAAAGATGATTTCCTTTGTACCAAGCCTATACTCACCTATACTCAGTATCCTTAATGGGTAGCAAGATTTTAACTACTCTTATCCCAATCTGCCACCATTCCCTTTGCCATTGATTTAAGTGTACAATTCTACCCCTGCCTTTGTTTTTAAATATGCATGGTTATTTTGCCTGATGTTATCTATGTACCACTTGCAAGTAGTGCTCACGGAGACCAGAAGATGGCATCAGATCTCCTAGAATTGGAGTTAGAGATGGTGGTGAACTGCCATGTGGGTTCTGGGACTCCAGCCTGGGTCTTCTGAACTGCTGAGCCCCTCCACTGCTTTCTCTAAAAAACGAGTTTTTCTAGCTTTGTTCTTGTGCCTCTTCAGTTAGATTGTGATTGCTTTGTGTTTTGAGGTCCTGGCTGGCCTGGAACTCACTGTGTAGACCAGGTTGGCCACGAATTCAGAGAATCCTCCTGCCTCTGCCTCCTGAGTGCTGGGATTAAAGGCTTTTGAGTCCCTTATGTATCCTAGAAACCAACCTCTTAGCAGTTAATTGGTTTGTAAATCTTTTCTCCCAGTTCTGAAGACTGTCCCTGAATCTGCTGATTGGCTCCTTTGCTTTAGTCTTTTCCCATTCTGTACAGTACTGCCTGTGAGCCTTCACATACAGACTTGGGAATGTACTTTACACCTAAGAAACCGCCGAGATCATTTGCATCTGCAGCTGTGGTCCCGAGGCTGTGGTTAGGGAGGAGACCAGGCAGTGAGCGGTTGGTCTGAAGCCACCTGGTAGCTCTGTCCCTGGAGCTGTGGGGCTCAGCTGGCACCTGGATAAGCTCCTGATTGAGTGTTGTGGACTGAGTGTTGGCTCGCTGCAGTGCCAATGCTGTGGCCGGCAGAGCCTTCCCTAGAACTTGTGGGGCAGACTGAGATAGACCGTACTTGGGCTTCGGCTCTGGTAGCTGCTGAACTCTGTCATCTGTTCAATGAAATGTATACTGGACCAAGGCTTCGGTCAGAGTCCAGGTTGGGCTACCAGCTCCTAAGCCAACATGGTGCCCAGCAGTGGCTGTGGAATGGCAAGGAAGAGTTTGAAGTGACAACTTTCGTTGGAATGGGAGAGTCACTTTCAGAATAGCATCCTGGACTGAATCTAAAGCTTGTGACTTTTCATTCATGGTCTCCTGCCATGCTGATGCTTGCTAGTACTTCTCTGCCTTCCCCAGGGGGGAGGGGCAGGGTGAAATTGCCAGGTGTTTCCTTCCTTCTTTTCTCTGGGTTCCTTTCCAACCATCGCTGCCGCTGAGGGCTCCCATTACTCCTTTGCCAGTCTTCCGAGTTCTCCCTCATTCATCCTGACAATACAGTGTCTCCTTTGCTGCCCTGGCCTCTCTGCCAGGGCTACATGAAAGGCACCTTGCCTCCCCTTGGCTTGCCCCTGGTCTGAATAGTGAGGTTGCAGGTGTTTATTAGATTAGCCATCTCAAGCTGATGAGATGGTTCACCAGGTGAAAGTGCTTGCCTTGCAAGCCCGACAACCCACGTTTCATCTCTGGAATGTTAGCTGGAAGGAGCAAACTGACCCTCCCCGCCACCCCTTCCCCAGCTGCCTTCTGACCTCTGCACCTGTGCATGGCACGCATACTCGTACATGAAAAAATGAAAAAAATAATAGTACTTGGCTTCTATTAAGAATTACCTGCCAGTTAAGAAAACACAGGATTTTCCTTCCTAGTTTGTTCCTGTCATTCCTACCTCTCCATTTCTTTTCTATCACCTCATGCCTGATGTTATCTTTTCTTTCTGCCTTGCTATCCCCACAGTTAGATTTCCCCCTTAATTTGGGTGGTCCTAGGTGAGCACTGTGCACTCTATGTTTCACAATAGCTGGCCTTGCACACTTACATTGATCACGTAGGACCCTGGCAAAAGAAGCAGGTAGTACTCTCCAAGTTTGTTGGTTCGATATGGGCAGATGTGTTTTCTGTCTTGGACTTCCACAATTACATTCGGCAATGGATTTCCACTCTGGTCAAACACTTGACCTTTTACACCTGTAGGACAAAAAGAAAGTTAAATATGAATACCAGATTTGGGGCCAGTGAGATAGCTCTGTGGGTAAATTTCTTGATGGGTAAAACTGAAGACCTGAGTTCAATCCTTCCCACAGTGGGAAGAGAGAAGAGACTCCCTAAAAAGCTGTCCACTGGCCTGCACAGTAATAATAAAATTTAAGAATTTTAAAGTAAATGAAACCTCTTATGGCATGCAGAAGAAATTTCCTCTTTAATGATTTAAGAAATATATTCCTAGTATTCATCTGTCTTAACAGCATTAAAGAAAAGAGTAATTTTGATCCCTGTAAATCACAGTCGAGCTACTTTACAGTTTATGCTCGCTGGTTATTGGCTATTCGGTTATGGCACTTATCGTCAAAACGGAAGATCAAAAATGAGAATAACCCAAACCATGTGGCGTTCACACTGGCTCCGGCCCTCTAGGCCAAGCCCTTGTGCTATAGAGGAGGCTTCTGTGTCCCAGCTAGGGCAGGTCGGAGACTTCCCGATGAGTCACCATCTCAGACTCAGAGCCTCCTAGCACGTGGTGAACTGAATCAATGGATAAATACAGTGTGACGAAGACCAGGGAGTGCCACTAAAGGGGCACTTGCCCTCATCACCTACAAATAAAAGTGCTCTTTGATGTCAGTCAGGGCCCTAATAGGGACGAAGACGTTCTACTAAGTAGGAACACACAGTAATTTGAAAGTTTTCTATTTTTTTTTTCAAGTCAGAAAAAGACATTCTTGTTTTACACCACAAGGGGGCAGGGTTGATATGCTAATAAACGTACTGTGAAGTGAGCTCAGCGACAGGCAATTTTTTTTTCTTTTTTTTTCGAGACAGGGTTTCTCTGTAGCTTTGGAGGCTGTCCTGGAACTAGCTCTTGTAGACCAGGCTGGTCTCTAACTCACAGAGATCCCCCTGGCTCTGCCTCCCGAGTGCTGGGACTACCACCGCCCGGCCAGACAAATATTCTTGATACAACATAATTAAATGGGCTTGTATTATTACTTCTGCATTAATAGTAACAATACTTAAGCTACAACTTGTGTGGTATTTATCGGGCTATACAGCTCCTGCACAGTCATATCCTATTATCATGGCAGGCAAAGCTCTCTTTGAGTCATCTGGACAGCTAGATTAAGAGTCTACAGGGAGAGCAGTGAGGTACAGGGACATGTCACGTTCTGTCACACTTTCCCAAGAATACTGACGAAGGGTGAACTTCAAAAAAGAATTCAGAGTAACACCAAAGGTTCAACACTGGGAGAACTGCGATGGACCTGTTAGATGATTACAGGACCACAGGGAAAGGCCAATGAAAACGGAGATGTCACAACAACAGCAGAGGACCCAACGGAGCAATTACATGAGGGGAAGGAGGAAGAGCCAATAAATACGTTTGGAATGTTATTTTGGTTTTATTTAAAATGTTTTTAGATTATTTACTTATTCATTTATTTATTTATTTTTGGTTTTTCGAGACAGGGTTTCTCTGTATTGTTTTGGAGGCTGTCCTGGAACTAGTTCTTGTAGACCAGGTTGGCCTCGAACTCGGAGATCCACCTGCCTCTGCCTCCTGAGTGCTGGGACTAAAGGCGTGCGCCACCACCACCCGGCGTAGATTTATTTATTTATTTATTTATTTATTTATTTATTTATTTGGTTGGTTGGTGGAGGCACTCCTGTGGTATGGCATAAGTAGGTGGAGGTCAGAGGACACTTTGCAGGAGTCAAGTCTCTCCTCCTTTCCTGTGGGCTCCCAGGCTGAACTCAGGTCACCAGGCGTGGTGTAGGCACCTTTACCTGCTCAACTAGGGGGCTCAAACTAGGCTTCTAATTGGAGATGTTGCAAGAGTACTGTCTTGTTTTCCTGCTCTTTTGCCAGATTTTCATATCATTCAATGTGTAAAGTTAGGGGTACTCTGGGCTTTCACACCCTCAAATCAACTGAACATGAACCATCCAGTCTTAGGAATAGCTGGGCACAGCACTGCTCACACACTGCAGATAAAACAATGCTTAGTCCTGGTACTGAAAACGAAGTCCTGCCCCAAGCCTCCCAAGAGGTTTTGAACATGCTTAACCCAAAGGTTCTTTGCATGCTGTGTGCGTTAACAAGTAGTATTAGACACAAACCTAGGTGCACCTGTCTTATATATTCAATCAAAGAGGCTCTGTTGTCATTCCAAAACACTGGTAGCTTTTCTTCTCGAGGGTATTTACAGCATGACAGCTCCAATGTAAGTTCAAAACACTGGGCCCAGATGTAGTTGTAATCTTGCATTCCACCTAAAAACAAGCACATTTCATTTTTGTTAAGGTCTAATGCTGGAGTCAAGCCTAGTATCGAATGCCCAGGAAATGTGCGAGTGAGACAGTTGCAAGGAAGCACTTAGAAATGGAAAAAGAAGCACTGACTGTTTAGCATGTCATATTCACATTTTATCACCACGTGACGAGGCAGACACAAAGAATCCCAAGAGGTAACTGGGTCAGAGCTGACTGCTGTTCATTTTGCACCAAAATTAAGTGAGAGACAGAGAAAGAGCCCTTTTTATTTTTGAAATTCAACATTTCAAATAGTTTTTCCTTAAATTGCATTTTTTTTAAGGGGGAGTACTAGAGATATGGCTGAGGGGCAGAAGTTATATTTTATATGGATACAAACTAGGATAAGAGTTTTTTCTTTTTCTTTTTAAGAGTAGCTTAGGGGGCTGGAGAGATGGCTCAGAGTTTAAGAGCTCTAGCTGCTCTTCCAGAGGTCCTGAGTTCAATTCCCAGCAACCAAATGGTGGTTCACAACCATCTGTAGTGAGATCTGGTGCCCTCTTCTGACCTGCAGGCATACATGCAGATAATACACTGTATACACAGTAGATAAATAAATCTTTAAGAAAAAAAAAGAGTAGTTTATTTAGGAGAGGGACAGCTAGAGATAACTGAATCCAGTACTCAGGTTCTCAGGAACACTTTTAATTAATTAAAAATACTGCAAAAAAGAAAAAAAAAAGAACAGTTTATTGACTATACCAAAAAAAGTCAGTGGGGTAAACAGCTATATTGCCTGCAGTATAGGGCAAGGGGTGCCCAGGACAGCAGAGTAAGATTATTCTCACAAATATTTCTGTAGGGCTGGAGAAAACACACAGCAGTTAAGAGTGCTTGGTGCTTTTCCAGAAAACCCAAGTTCAGTTCCCAGCACCCACATCAGGTAGCTCAAACCATCTATAACTCCAGCTCCAAGGATCCAACCCCTCCTTCTGGCCTCCTCAGATACTTGCACAGACGTGGCGCCCACGCCCATGCGCGCGCGCGCGCGCGCGCGCGCGCGCGCACACACACACACACACACACACACACACACACATTTTTAAAAAATATCTTTGTAAACTATAAAATTAATTAACTAAATCCAGGAACACTAGTGTTAGAGGAAATAATAATGTCTAATATTTACTGAATGTTTGGTGTTTTTAGGTTCTTCCCGGTGTTTTTAGGGCAGCAATCATAAATACTAAGTCATGAAGGTCCAGGGACTCTTGCCTGTGGGCTGCAGAGACCAGGGTGCAGCCATCTTGCAAGGAACCCGGTGGCTTTGGCCCTCATTATGACAATGTTTCTATGTTTCAGAGAAAGGACACTCAGTCCTAGGAAGGCTCAGACTTGGGTCCCTGTGGCTTCCAGCTGTCACTGCTCATGTTTCCTTTCCAATTCTTTGACATTCGGAGACCCTAATTTCAAAGGTTATATTAGAGCATATTTTGTAGGGCGTGAAGTTTCATATGTGATATCTCTGGATTTATGTGTCTTAAATTTTATGCCTGAAAAACATGTGTTTAACTGAGGAGATCTTAGGATTGTCTCTCCTGGTGGTGTGTTGTATTTTATAGGAATGACATCTTAGACTTGATGAAATGCAGTAAATTTCCTTTTTCTTCTTTTCCTCCCGTACTGTACTGAGGTCACGTCATACTAAAGTGGTCCACCACTGAGCCACACTGCCAGTCTTATAGTAGCTCTGAAGGAGGTGGGTTTTACCATCTTCTACTTGGTGCCTGGTATGTTTGAATATGCAATGCCTTCCTGCAGGGTCATTGGTCCTTGGTTGGTCCTGGCAGAGGCAGGGACACACTGATAGGTCAAGAGGCTGGCATCTGTCCTGGGTCTGACCAGTGGTCTCTGCTTCCTGATCTGCCAATGGCCCCACCTCTGCCTCAACCGTCGTGCAAGTGTGAGGTAGAGGAAGCCTCCTTCCTCTCAGTTGCAGTGGTCATTCCCAGAAATGACAAAAGTAACTACTGCAGTATCTGCCTAAGAAAATGCAAAAATGTATTGTCAGTTCTACCAGGTACTAGAGAAGTTCAATTTCAGCAAACTGGTCAAGGGATAGAGAGGTGTCTCAGTGTGTGTGTGTGTGTGTGTGTGTGTGTGTGTAGGGATGTGGAGGTTGGTAAGAGCAATCACAGAGGACCCAGGTTTGATTCCCAGCACCCACACAACAGCTCACAGCCCTCTATAACTCCAGCTCCACGAGAGCCGATGCCCTCTTCTGGCCTCTGTGGCACAGGGCACATGTGGTTCACAGACATACATGCAGGGAAAACGCTCATATATATAAAATGCATAAATAAATAAATATATATATTTAAAAAACTCACAAAGAAAATATCAAAATGTTAAGTAATCTAATATAGATCCAGATTCTAGTGACAAAGATTACTTTGTCCTTTCAATTTCTGTTTTTTTTTACCCTATGGATTTTTTATTCCTCTCTGAGACCATTTACACACACACACACACACACACACACACACACACACACACACATACATATATACATACACAAATACACAATTGCAAATAACTTGCAACAACTTTGGAAATTTCCACACATCTGGATTTTTGTCTTGGCAGTTACAGTTGTGCCTCAAAACAGAAGGTCCTTTGTAGTAACGAAGAGTGGGGACCAGGGCTATGCTGGCGACCTGAGGTGGGTGGGAACAGATCTTGAACAACAGAATGAATTTTAGGGTGCCTCCATGTCTAGCAGGGCCCAGTGCCTGAACACCATCAATTGAGGTCTATGCTTATTTACTTCATCTGGAAAGTTGGCAGCAGGCCACCCAGACACAAAAGTACCAGTTTGTGCTAGATTACTAGACAGCCCATGCTTCCAAAGTGACAGCTGGGGGAGGCGCCTGTGGAAATGGCCTATGTGCAGAAATGCAGCCTGAAGCTTGCTGTCTAGGGGCCAGGCCGACTAGTCAGGGGGGAATGGCTGCTCATCGCTAGCATGAGGTCTCTCCTCTTACCCTCCCTCTCTATGTCTCTCCTCTTGTGTTTCAGTACCTAGACTAGTCCTAACTTCCATACACCCCTGTATGGAAGTAACTACATATTGTAGTAATTACTTTTGTCATTTCTGGGAATGACCACTGCAACTGAGAGGAAGGAGGCTTCCTCTACCTCACACTTGCACGACGGTTGGGGCAGAGGTGGGGCCATTGGCTTCTGTTGACATTACTCTTTCTGCTAAGTGTGAGCTATGCCTTAGGGTACAGGCCTATAAATCCCAGCTACTTGGGAGGCTGAGACAGGAGAACTGAGAGTTCAAAGCCAGCCTGGGCAATTTAGTAAGCCCTGTCTCAAAATAAAAGTAAAAAGAGGGCTGGGGATAGTTCATTGAAAGAGGATTTCAAATTTGCACTTGCACATGCAAAACCTTAGTTTCAATCCCCAATAACGCCAAGAAGACAAGACAAAACAAGACAACAACGGAATAGCCTTCCTTCTGAACTCCCTCCCTCCATTATCACTCTTTCTTTGTCTAGCCATCTTATTCAAGGATGGGAAACCAGAGCCCCACTCCCTGGTCCTGCCTGAAGAACATTTTTTCACGATATCCAAGTTGGAAAGAGACTAGCCACATGGTCTCCACTATTGCAAGGTCATATTCAGTGGCAGCCATCCTTGTAGGAGGGATGTAAGTACCACCTTCCTTCGAGGTCCCTGCTGGTGTTGGCTGTGACTGTCGATCCCTTCACAACACCTGAACCTTGTCTAACCCTCTCTTCCTACTCTCATGGCACTGTAACCCAACTCCTTATTTTCATTCCACTGGAGGGTGAGACAGTCTTCCATCTTTCTTGGCATTGTTTCTGGATGCACTAAGCACACACAGAGTCAACAAACAAATGTCTGAGTCAATGAAGGAGGCCATGGGCAGTGAGGCACATGTCTCTACACCCTCCCAAACTGCCGGTCACCTCCACTGCTCCTGTGATATTATGGGATGGAGACCTGCCTGAGGGACTGCATTGTGCCTTAGAGATCTTTTGACACTACCTGGTACCTCCAGGTGAAGGCAGCAAGGCAAATATAAGGAAGACAAGCTCACCTTGCAGTGGATACCAGGAGTACCCATTAGTAATTCCATTGGGGAAGTTCCTTTTGTTTTTGCACTGATCTCCTTTTGTCATATTGGGGTTCCGGGAAGCGTAGGTATATGCGAGGTGTTGAAAAACATCGTCATCTGGAGTTAGGCTTCGGGACAACAGTGTCCCCGTGGCTGTGTCAGGAAGGCAAAGGGATGTGTACAACACATATCAGCAGACATATCACAGCACTTACAGTCTCGTTCTCTACTTCTGAACACTCCCTGTGGTAGTCTGAATGTAATTGGCTTCCATAAACATATAGGGAGTGGCACTATTCGGAGGTGTGGCCTTGTTGGAGGAAGTGTGTCACTGTAGGGGTGGGCTTTGAGGTCTCCTTTGCTCAAGCTATGCTCAGTGTGACACTCAGTTCACTTCCTTTTGCCTGAGGATCAAAATGTAGAACTCTCAGTTCCTCCTCCAGCACCATGCAGGCCTGCAAGAAAACCATCCTTCCTGCCATGATGATAATGGACTGAACCTCTGAAACTGTAAGCCACCCTAATTAAATACTTTTCTTTATAAGAGTTGCTGTGATCATGGTGTCTCTTTGAAGCCATAGGAACCCTAACTAAAGTATGCCCCTCCATTTTCTTTCTGCTTTTAACCAACAAGAGTGTAAGATCACAGAATAATCAATTTAAAAATGAAGTCACCTCTTCTTATGCTTGTCAGTTTCTGGAGTTCAGCAACTTTCCTTAGGTGTTGCTAGGGGTTCATGCATGCCACTGTCATACTTTCAAAGATATTTTTTTAATTGTTGGTTGTTTGCTTTCTGAGATAGGGTCTCTCTAAATAGTCCCAGCTGTTCAGGAACTCACTGTGTACACAGGCTGGCCTCGAGCTCACTTAGTTCCCAACTGCTAAGATTAAAGGTGTGTACCACCACACTTGGCCCTTATACTAAAGCACATCTCATTCAACTGACTCTAAAGCAGGGTTCTCCACCTTCCTAATGCTGCAACCCCTTAATACAGTTCCTCATGTTGTGCTAACCCTCAACCATAAAATTTTATTTGTTGCTACTTCATAACTGTAATTTTGCTACTGTTATGAATCGTAATGTAAATATCTGATATGCAGGGCTGGAGAGATGGCTCAGAGGTTAAGACCACCGGCTGCTCTTCCAGAGGTCTTGAGTTCAATTCCCAGCAACCACATAGTGGCTCACAACCATCCCTTATGAGATCTGGTGCCCTCTTCTGGTGTGCAGATATACATGGAAGCAGAATGTTATATGAATAATAAATAATTAAATAGAATCTTTTAAAAAATCTGATATGCAACCCTGTGAAAAGGTCATTAGACCTGCAAAGGGGTCGAGACCCACAGACTGAGAACCACTAGAGTCAACACTGTTCATGAGATTAAAAAAAAGATAAGCCATCCTGGTTTTGTTTTCTTCTAGCCACATACCCTAAGTCTGTGATAAAATCTCCATCTGGCTGTAGGATTTCACCCATGAGTATCTTGTTACTGGTTGTTATTTCAGTCTCATTGTCCACCCACTGTTTAAGAATTACAGGAAGAGCTAGCCATGTAGCTCAGGCTGCCCTGGGCTTGCCTATTACACACAGAGCCCTGGGTTTGATCTCCAGTCTTTCATAAACCAGGCCAGGTGGTGCAAGCCTGTGTGGATCAGAAGTTCAAGGTCACTCTCAGCTATGTAGTCTGTTTTGGGTACCCTGGTACAGAGATTCATTCTTATTCCTTTTCCTCGACAAACAAGCAAACAACAACAAATCCAATGACAGGACAGTTCAGTATTAGGGAAAGTGAGGCTTTTTTTTTTTTTTTTTTTTTTTTGCCAGCCAGAGAAAGTTAAGTGTGGGTTGCAGACTTCATTCTATTCCAGGGATGGAGCATTTGCAGCTCAGGTTGGCCAGGGTCAGAACAGGGGCCACATCACCTACCTTGCACACCATTATCGAAGGGGTAGCTGGCCACCAGGGCACCCCCGTGGAGATTGGCAGAGAGGACAAATGTCTCGGTTTTCAGCCACTTCATGACTGCCAGGGTCTCAGGCTGCTGTGTCACGTTATTATTTTCGAAGGCATCAGGAAAGTTTCTGTTCAGGTCATAATTGTTGTAATTTTCCCTTGAAAAGAAATGATTTTGTTTATTGGGGTGTGTGGGTGTGGGGAGTTGGTCTTGTGGTTCCAGGTGTTTCCCAGATGTGAACACAAGTCCAGTGGATAATTGATGTGGGGACCTCTCGTGAATCATAACTAAAGCCCCCATCCCCTACTGTGTGATTTGTTTTCCCGATGGGACATTAGCTACTGTGTCACAACCAAAGGTTGGACAGTTGTTTGCATTCTGGAACTTTTTGTTCTGGGAACGGTGCCTTTTAGACACTGAGGCACCACTGGTAGCCACATGGTGGGCTACATAGGACAATGAGGAACCCAGGTGACAGCCAGAATTCAATGCCAGACACATGGCCCCAGGCTAACTGTCTCAGACAGACCTGCGCTGAGACCCCAGATGAAGCAGGGGTTGACATCAACCCTGCTTTGCCCCTCTTAAGCTCAGCACTGCCAGAACCAACAGTCAATAAAAAGGCTCTGTCACCATGCTTGGCAGAGGCTCCTTACACTACACCCAAGGGCCAGAACAGGTCACTTTATACAAACATGCTTCAGAAAGCTGTTGTGACCATGCCTAGCTATGCTAGGAAAGTTAAAGATGAATGGAATCCAGTAGTGAGAGTTTACTTATTTATTTTCGGCGAACTCAACAAATTTATAAACTGTGCAAATATATGTGTCATTAAGCACCGAGAAACTCAGCTCCCTGAGGCACTTTAAACAAAACACACTAATAGACCATGCTGTAACACCTACACTTTTTAGGGTATTGGATTAATATACCAATGGGTAATTTTGGAAGGTCTGTGTATGATGCTAAGCCAGCAGCTCTCAACCTGTGGGTCACGACCCACTTGGGGAGATCAAACAACTTTTTCACAGGGGTAGCATATCAAATATCATTTACTTATTTATTTTAAATATATTTATTTATTTATTTATTATGTATACAACATTCTGCTTCCATGTATATCTGCACACCAGAAGAGGGCACCAGATCTCATAAGGGATGGTTGTGAGCCACTATGTGGTTGCTGGGAATTGAACTCAGGACCTCTGGAAGAGCAGTCAGTGCTCTTAACCTCTGAGCTATCTATCCAGCCCCATCATTTATATTATGATTCATAACAGTAGCAAAATTACAGTTGTGAAGTAGCAATGAAATAATTTTGCGGTTGGGAGCCAGCACAACATGAGGAACTGTGTTAAAGGGTCACAGCACCAGGAAGGTTGAGAACCACTATGCTAGGCAATGTTGAGCTAACAATGATAAACTGCCCTTAGTAGCTTGAGTTTAGTGGAGGGAAAGAGATTAAGTAAGAAATTAGACCTTGGGACCCAGGAGATGGGTTAACAGGTAAAGGTGCCCGATGCTGAGCCTAGTGTCCTGAATTTGATCCCCAGGACCCACACACATGGTACAAGGGGAGAATCAACTCCCACAAGTTAATTCTCTGATCTCTACATGCCCACTGTGGCAAGTCCTAGATCATGCCCCACAAATAAATAAACATGCTAAAAATTGTGCCATGAAGGTATAGATTCAGAGGATCAGAAAGCACACGGTGGAGGGACTAAATACATGCCACATGTCTGGGGAAAGAGTCTTTGTAAGAGTACTATTGAGGCAGTTGATGGGGATGAAGAATGGGAACGGATGTACACGGTTCTTGAGCTAAGACAGCACCTGAGAGTTCCAGGAGAAAGATCAGAGGGCCGAACGAAGCAGGGAGGGTGAGCAGTGGTCAGTAGAGGCTGAGGGACTAGGTAGGTGGCCTGAAGAGCCCCAGGGCACCCATGACAGGCACAGGATCTGGGGTGCTTGACTGGGAGGTGACTCCTCTTGCTGGGGCCTATGGGTGCCTGACGGGAGACCATGCCCCTCTTTACCTTCCGTTACTGTAATAACAGTCGGGCTTCTTGACGGCTTCAAATCCATCTGGGTTCATGGAAGGCATGATGTGGATCCGAGTGCTGTTGATTAGTTGTGTGATTTCGGCATCTTTCCCGTGATTGGTCACCAGGTAGTCGATGAGGTGGAGCAGCAATTCTCGCCCCACGGTCTGTGTGCAGAAAGAGGAGTGGGGCTATTATTATTAAGTCAGAAATAATAGGGAAAATGTTCCCCACGCACAGATCCCCCTGTGTGTGGGGGGGTCTCCACATTTGCTGCTTTAGATTACAATTCGTTTGTGAGACCACTACTTTTCTTCCTCCCTTCCTTTCTCTTTCTGTCTCCTCTCCTCTCCCTACTTCTCTCTCTCCCCCTCCTTTTCTCCCTCCCACCCTTCTTCCTTCTGTCTTGCTTGTTTGGTTGGTTGGTTTTTCAAGACAGGGTTTCTTTGTAGACCAGGCTGGCCTCAAACTCACAGAGATCCCCCTGCCTCTGCCTCTGCCTCCTGAGTGCTGGGATTGAAGGAAGGCCTGAGCCACCAGCAGGTGAGACCACTTGTCAAACAAACCACAGTGGCAAATGTCAGTTCACAGTAGACTGCTGAAAAGGATTCCTTTGTGACAATTCAGGGTGTGTTTGTAAGTTATCTGTTCTGGTTTGTCGTCGCTGCTCAGAGTCACCTGACACAAGCGACCTGTGTGCCGGACCAGTTCGGCAGCGGGTTCCGAACACCGAACACCCAGAGGCAGCCTGCCTCCATCCGCCGGCCCAGGACCCTGCACCCCCGAACACTGCCAACACCCAGGGAACAGTGACACCTCTATTCACGAGAACAGGACCGACATCAGAGTATTGGATCTGTTTGCATCTACCAGAAGAGAACCTTGGTCCCACACCCACCAGGAGAACCAAGAAACTCTTGCTATACCCCCCAGAAGAAAGGATGAGAAGAGGACAAGGTAAAAACACATCCAACAACAGAAAACCCAATATGACATCACCAGAGACTAGGAACCATACACCAGTAAAACCTGAACATCACAATACAGATGAACCAGAAGAGAATGACCTTAAAAACATCTTCAGGAAAATGATAGAGGAACTCAAAGAGGACATGAGAAAAGCCCTTAAAGAAATGGAAGAAAAAAACTAACTAAAAAATACAAGATATCAATCTTCAAGTCAATCAATATCAATCTCTCACGGAAACAGTTCAAGAACTAAAAACTGAAATAGAGACAATGAAGAAAGCACAATCTGAGGGAATGCTGGAAATAGAAAAGCTGGGTAAACGATCAGGAACTACAGATGTAAGCATAACCAACAGAATACAAGAGATGGAAGAGAGAATCTCAGGGGTTGAAGACACACTAGCGGAAATAGACTCATCAACCAAAGAAAGTCTTAAGTCCAACAAATCTCTATCACAAAATATCTGGGAACTATGGGATACTGTGAAAAGGCCAAACCTAAGAATTATAGGTATAGAAGAAGGTGAAGAAATCCAACTCAAAGGCGCAGAAAACATATTCAACAAAACCATAGAAGAAAACTTTCCCAATGTAAGTTCTTTGTATGTGCATGATCGAGTGAACTCAGAACGATTTAAAGGAGAATCAGAGTGACAGTTCTTGTCATCGAAGTCTTCATTTCCTTGCCTTTCAAGAGAAGAACATGGCACACATGAAACCCAGATCCAAGTTAGACACTGGATTTTAAGGTGGTTAAATTTTATTCATTGCTCTCAGGACTCAAGCAGGTTTCAGCGTTCCATAGTCTCCTTTTGCAGCCTCTGCTTTTGCTCATCTATGTTATTTTTCTGTATATTTCTGACTGTTACATTCTTATGGCCATGGAACTTATCATGTTGGCTTATTATCCACATACCACTCACAGTTTTTGCCATATGATTTTGGTATACACTATTATTTACATTTCCTTCAAACATGCCCACTTTTTTGATTATGTTAAAAGTAAAACTCTGGGGCTGGAGAGAGGGATCAATAGTTAAGAGGTTGCTCTTCCAGAGAACCCAGATTTGAGTCCCACATGGCAGCTCACACTCGTCTATAACTCCAGTGCCAGGATTCAGTGCCCTCTTTTGGCCTCTGCAGGCACCAGGCACTTATGTGGTACATAGACATACATTCAGGCAAAAGCCCACACATAAAATAAAACTAATAATCAAAAATTAAAAATTAAAGCAAAACCCACTGATATCATCAGGCTGTCCTCTGACCTCCCTGTGTAAGCCTGTGGCAGTGGGTCCAAACACTTGAACACAGCAGTCTCTCTCTCTCTCTCTCTTTCTCTCTCTCTCTCTCTCTCTCTCTCTCTCTCTCTCATACACACACCCTCTCAAATACACACAATAAATAAATAACATATAATAAAGAAACTAAAAAAAATCCAGAATACCAAGCTCTCCATCTAGTTTTACTTCAGTTTTATTCTCTGGTTAACACATTAAATTTGAATAAATTCCGTGCATTTTACATATGGACTATGCCATACATTTTATTTTAGATTTTTAAACTTTTTGTTTAATTTTGAAATTTTGTTTCCTGTGTATGGCTGTTTTTCTTGCACCTATGTCTGTTCACCATGTACATGTCAGGTGGGGCCAGAGAGAAGGCATTGGATCCCCTGGAACTGGACTTGCAGACAGTTGTGAGCTGCCATTTGATGCTGGGAATTGAACCCGGGTCCTCTGGAAGAGCAGCCAGTGCTCTTAACCACTGAGCTGTCTCCCCAGCCTCCTTCCTCCTGCCCTGCCAGATTATTTTAATTTCTCCTATTCTCTTGCCACAGAAAGATATGAATTTCTGGAAATATTTTTGAAAATATTAATAATGGCCATTCGGGGTGATAGTTCCCGGATGGCTTCTCAATGCTTATTTTTCTAGTATCACTTTTGAAACTGAAGAAAACCCATGTTGTCATAAAATAATTAAATAACGTTTCTTTCAGAGGAAATCCATGTGTAACCAAAGAAGTATCTTAATAAATTTCTTAGTGCTTAACTAAAAAAAAAAAAAATCTCATGAATACGCAGAAACAACCGTGCACCAGTTAGCTTTAAAAGGCTGAGGCAAAACACATGACGTCTCAGAGGGAGTTAAACAAAATCCTCTTGTTACTTTCCTTATTGGGCCATATTTGCCGCCCTGTGATTTATGACAAATATTCAAATGTATTCTCCCTGGACTGAATATAAATGGCTCAAGTACTCATTCATGTTTTATGTATAAACCTCTCTTTTTCCCTTAAGTTTAAGGCTTGGAGTATGGAACCTCGGGTGGCCAAACTTTAAGAGAGAATGTGGTGAGATGGCCTCTCAGCTTAACCAGCTATTCTCCACACTGACTTGCTAGAGAACACAGGGTTCTTTCTCATTAGGGTCCCTGGAAACAATGGCAGGCCTGAGACACACACCGGCTTCTGGGACTCCCCACCCCCACCCCAGGTGACTCAACTCAGAAAGCAGAAAACAAATTCTGTATCAGTTTAGTTCACTCAGCCAAATGGGAGCTGGCCAGATAGGTAAAAATGCGTCTGGGTGTCTAGGTCTCATTCTACAGAGAATGCTTAGAAATGGTGGAAAATTTTGAAAGCATCTCCTTGGCGGGTGCCAGTGAGAGAGCAAGTGGTAAGGAGGGAGGGGAAGAGAGCAGAAGGGGGAGGGGGAGAATGAAGCAGGGGAGGGAAAGAGCAAAAGCTTGAACCAGTGGGGGTTATTTTTAAATTGCTCACTGGGTGTGGTGGTGGCGGCGGTGCTCGCTCACCTTTAATCCCAATGTTCCCGAGGTAAAGGCAGGTGGGTCTCTGTGGGTTCAAGGCTAGCTTGTTCTACATAGTGAGCTCTAGAGGAGACAGGGCAGTATAGTGAAACTGTATCTCAACAAACAAACAAAAAACTATGCTGTACGGCAGCTGGGGGTGGCGGCAGTGGCAATAAGTCTGTCAATTGTGGTTGTTACAGGTTTAATCCCTTTGTCGATTGCTTAGTCCTTCTTGTTCAGATGTTGGCCTAAATATTATATTATCTTGCATGTGTGGTGATATTTGGTTTATGATCTAACAAATAAAGCTTGTCTGAAGATCAGAGTGCAAAAGGTAGCCACAATAGTTAGCCATAGAGGCAAGGCAGTGGTGGCACATGCCTTTAATCCCAGCACTTGGGAGACAGAGGCAGATGGATCTCTGTTAGTTCAAGGCCACCCTGAGCTACTCCAAATTGATCCAGTCTAAAAGAGAAACAGAGCACACACAAAGGAGATCTCAGCCCTTGGGATCTCACACCTTTAACCCCAGCACCAGAGAGAGGAATATAAGACAGGAGCTCAGTGCAGTCTGAGGTTCGGTGGAGACAGATGCAGCCTGGTCTGAGCATTGGGAGAGGTGAGAACACCCCAGTGGTTGGCTGCTTTGTTTCTCTGATCTTTAGCTTTAACCCCAATATCTGTCTCCAAGTTTTATTATTAAGACCAACTAGAATTTGCGCTGCAGGCATGCTTTCTCTGACCTTCACATCTAGGTTGTGGCCCCATTACACTTGACATCTCTGTTACTAACACAGGCTACAGTCCCTGAACTAACCACCCTTCCTCTTCCACTGAAGCCTTCAGAGTAGGAATTCTGTTTTCCTCTTCATCTACGGGTCCTCTGGACTGTCTTGCCTAGCTTCTGGCAAAGCAGGCATGTTGTGGAATATGATTTTAATTGGGCAAAGATGTGTTACGTTTGTTTATGCTGTGGAATATTTCTTTAACCATGTAAAGGCATGTGTCACATTTGTTTCTACTGTATTTGTTTAATTATGAAAAGATGTGTTACTGTTTCAACCTTTCCTGCCTAAGGCGTTTGATGGGTCTAATAAAAAACTGAGTGGTCTATAGGTAGGCAGAAGAGGAAGAGCTGGGGCTGGCAGGCAGAAAAGACAAAGCAAAGGACCTATCACAGGCAGAAGCAGAAAGCAAGCATGTACTGCTTGCTTGTTTGTTTGTGCTTAACTTGGCCCCTTCCCCCTTTAGAGATGGGGTCTCACTCTGTAGCCCTAGCTGGGCTACAGAGATCTGCCTTGTGAGTGCTGGGGTTAAAGGTGTGAGCCATCATACCAGTGATTTCTCCATTCTTAGAAAGGTCAAGACTCCCTGCCTACGGAATGGTGTGTGTGTGTGTGTGTGTGTGTGTGTGTGTGTGTGTGTGTGTGTGTGTGTGTGTGTGTGCGATGTGCCTGTCTGTCTGTCTGTCTGTCTGTGTAGGTACACACGTCCCAGGGCATGTGGAGGTCAGAGGTTGTCTTTTGGAAGTTGGATCTCTCCTTCCACTGCCTGGGTCCTAGGGATCAAACTCAGGTCATCACTCTTGGAAACAGGTGCTTTTACCCCCTTAGCCATCTCACTGGTCCTTAACATTATTATTTTAATGTAAAGATAGATGATTCTAAAATAAGGTGTTGAAGAGGCAAAGTGGAAATTCACAGGGGACAGAAATGGGCCCTGATGCTGCAACTAATCTCATCAAGCACATAGAACCAATTATGAACCTCCCCCTTCACGTGATGGTGTCTAGGTGAGAGAGGAAATGTCCTCAAAAAATCATGTGGTACAAACTGTCTGCTGAGCCACTCAGTGTGTATGCCTCCTAAAGGAATTTACCATGAGGCACTAAACTTTTGGAAGTGCTGAAGATCCTGGGGTCAGAGGTCCAAGTTCACATCAGGAGATCGAGAAATACCTCTAAAGAAGGGCAAGAGCCACAGTCCAGGATGTTAGCTACATGGCTTTCTAGGAGGACTGAAATCAAGAACTTTCAAAAGATTTAAGAGGATCATGGTGGGGCTCAGATTTTATGCTCAGAGTAAGCCCTCTTTTTCCAGGTAGGGCATCCCTGTCTCCAGCCCCTAGAGGCACCAGTAGGAGGGCAGAAGACACAAGACCTAGAGTCCAGAATAATACATTTCTTTAATAGGCCCGTAGAGCCCACAGACACAGCCATGAGCTGGGACATAGAAGACATTCACAATACTTCAGATCCCCACTCAGAACATGTGAAGGCTTTCGCCATCATCCCAAATCCATTCTCAACGTTCCTTAAAGACTCGGGGTGAACCACAGAGCCTGGGTTTGATGGGACACAGTGATGCCCTGCAGATAGGATATCAAGAGTTTGTAAACGAACACAGAAAGGGCAAGCATAGCTAGGCAGGGAGGGCAGGGACCAGGCTCTTCTCTGGAAGTTTTGGTTCTGAGGATTAGTTTCTGAGCAGCAGCCTGTAACCTCTGAATCCCCGGGGAGTCAATAAATAACTTCCTAGAGACAATGAGTGCCATCTGTCTCTTATTAAAAATGGATTCCAGAAGCCCTTGATCAATAGACTAGATAGCAAAAGGAAAAGGAAGTCTGGGCCGCTGTGTGTAACAGACAGCTGTTCATTAAAAGCGATTTTGGGCAGATTCCTAGCAACATGAAGTCTTTTAAAGAAACAGTCCATTATGATTAAAAACAACGACAACAAAATAGTTGTATTGTTCTGTATGCTCCCCAAATCAGGTTCCTCTCTTGCAAGCATGCATTTGCATTTTAACTCCTGCTGCAAGAAACAGCCTCTCTGCAGGACGGGTTGGGTGACATGCTTGGCAAGGGCTGGCCCTGTGTGTCATAAAGGGTGGAGACAGGTCCTATGGAACCAGAGCTTGAGGAGGTTAAATTGGGTCACAAGGTCCAGCATTGACTAGAGCATCCCACCCCAGCTATTGCAAATCGAGAATGATTTGGTAACCAGCAGGCTGTGCTTCTGGCCATATGCATGGACTCTGAAATTCCTAAAGGCTAAATGTACTTTATAGGGAACTTTATACATCCCCTGTCAATTTCATTTACAGTGGGAGTTACCATTCCTTCCTCAGCTGTGTGGAGCCCTGGTATACAGACAACAATGAAAGGATCCAGAGGAAGCAAGGTCAGAAAGAGGTAGATATCTTCAACAGCCCTACTATCCTGGTTGGTTTTCAGTCAACTTTGTACAAGCTAGGGTCATGTGGGAAGAGGGAACCTGAGTTAAGCAAATGTCTCCATTAGATTGGCCCATAGGCAAGTCTGCAGGGCATTTTCTTGAGTAATGATTGATGTGGGAGGACCCAGCCCACTGTGGGTGGAGCTAACCCCTAGGCAGGTGGTCTTGGGACTTATGAGAAAGGGAGCTGACTGGGAGCTAGAGAAAGGCAGTAAGCAGCTTTCCTTTATAATCTCTGCTTCAGTTTCAGTCCTGAGTTTCTTCTCTGACTTCCCTTAATGACCTGGAATAAACCTTTTTTTCCCTCTAAGTTGCTTTTGGTTATGGTCTTCATCAGTGCAAAAGAAAGCAAACTAGGGTACCAGCCATTCTTGTAAGAGCGGTAAGAGGGTAGTTTGTGGAACAAAATAAAAACAATGTTCATCTCCTCTAATTTGGAAGAGATGACACTACAGAGTCTAAGTGGTCGAATGGAAGGAACATTGTGTATCTCTCGACTTGCACCCTGGAAGTCCCAGAGCTGTAACAGACAGCTCCAAACGCCATGCTGGGGCTGGAGGAACAGCTCAGGGATGAAGTACTTGCCTAGAAAACATGAGACCAGTGCCATAAATGAATAAAGATTAAAATTAAAAATGCCAGATGCTGGGAGTCTGGATTGTTATTTGGTGTCTTCTCAATTGTTTTGAGTTCAAGTACAACAGAACTCCTGTGCTCCAAGAAGGAGCCTTGGGACAGGGCTGGAGGCAGCTCAGAGAGTGCCCCAACACAAGGGCAGCTCTGGTTACTCTCTCAGGGGACCAAGCATACAGCCACATTGTCTGATGCTGCTAGAGCTGGCTCCCTTAATTTCCTCCCACGCCTCCCAGGGAAGACAGCTCGGGCCCTTGCTGCCTGACTACGACTCATGATGTTCATCCAGGCTTTCTTGTCAGTGTGGACACAGACCATGGGAAACCTGAGGGCAAAAGTTTCTTGCAGATATTCCCACCAGGTACATACCTCATCTCCATGCATATTAGCCACGTATTTGAATTCTGGAATCCCAATTCGGTGTTCCTTTGGAGACTTCCCCACAACAAGAACCCACAGGTTTCTACCTTTACAGAGAAGAAGGAGAGAAATAAGTTATCTCAAAAACACAACAAATGAACTCTGAGAGAATGAGAAGGTTAGCACTCGTCTCCCTCCTGGCGACTTTACAATTTCACGGTGACTTATGTTCATGCGATGAACATGGGCATGCTTCAAATACTCATTATTTACTGTCGGAATGGAAAGAAACTCAACTTAATAGAAACATTTATTACCCTAGAATGTAATTTAAAAGAGCAGTATATTAGGTTACACTGATCTTATTTTCCAAACATTTATGTACTGTGTTCTGGGATCCTACTGCCTTATAGCAACAATCTTGCTAAAGCACACATTATACAGTGAAATCACAGTTGATGGTTGACTGGAAGGGTGCCATAACTTATAAGCAAAAAAAGGAAAGGCAGAGCAGTGAAACTTGTAATTTAGGAGGGATTTTTTTTTTTTAAAGTAAGAGAGGTCTTGTATTCTTGTATTCTATCGTAGGTCTTGTATTTGGGTGCTGACATAGTATGGCCTTAGCTGTACTTTCTGTGTTGTGTGAAGAATTCAACCCAAGGCTCTGCATACCAGCAAGGAATGTGCTTTGTCTACTGAGGTATAGCCCCTCTCACCCTCTCCTTGTTTTTTTTCAGGGTTTATTTATTTTATTTTATGTGTTTGCTTGTATGCTTGTATGTATACACATTGCAGGCAAGTATATATACCTCGTATATGTATACATATACATGCATGTATGTATACCTCTTGTATGTATACACATTGCAGGCATGTATGTATACCTCTTGTATGTATACACATTGCAGGCATGTATATATACCTCTTATGTGCTTGGTGCCTAAGAAGTCAGAAGAGGGTGTTAGATCTCCTGGAAATGGAGTTACAGATGGTTATGAGATGCCATGCAGGTGCTGGGAGTTGAACCTTGGTCTTTTGGAAGAGCAACTAGTGTTCTTAATTGATGAGCCATCTCTCTAGCCCCTCTTTTGTTGTTTTTGAGTCCAGGCTGGCCTCAAACTTACAAGTCTCCTGTTTTGGTCTCTCAAGTGCCAGGATGGCAGGCATGCATTGCCATGCCTGGCTTTGGCTGTGCCTTTGACTGTGCCTTTGATTCTATTGGGTTCTGTCAAGTAAGCCAGAAACCACAGCCCAACCTAACAATGCCAAGGACAGCTTGCAAGTCCCCTTTCAGCCACAGACTGGGATTAAGGCAAGCAAAGGCAGAAACAGATCACTGAGGTTGTGTGTGTGTGGCAGGCATGACAGTTGGCGCTCTGCCTTGTAATCTTAAGTGCTTTCTTGTCATGAACCACTGAGCTAGACTGCCAATAAAACTTTTCAAATGAGAAGCTATTATGCAAACTGCTATGATCACACAGTCAGTAAGAGACTATGATTTGATTCCCAGTCCTACAAAGTTAACATTTTTATAGAAAACAAAGTTGCTTTTTTCTTAATGGAGGAGCTGTTAATCATGGTTCTTTGAGTTTGTTCTGATAAATACTTTTTTTTTTTTGTAATGATTAGTGCTTTCGAGGCTGGTAATCATAGATTTGTATTGAGTGTAGTCTTGCTCCTCAAAGTCAAGGGGAAAATTCGGTACTCTCTCAACAACATTTGCCAGCTGTTGTTCATAATTCAAAGTCTGCAGTTGTTGGCATGTTGCATACATGATAGTGAATGGCAACAAAACTTGACTTGAAATGGATGCCGAGTATTATTTAGTATAAGGGAAGGGAAATCAAATCAATCAAACATAAGTAAAAAAACATGTCAGTGGGAAACTCAATCCCACTTTTGGCATGGACGACCTCTAGATGAACTGCAAGATAAGAAACTGACCTTGAGTGATTTCAATGACTCCCAGTCTGAGGATAAGAGCAATCGGTCACCTGAACAATACATATAATCCTTTTTGGAATGAGGACCCTCTTAAAGGGCTTTACCCACCCTCTCTACTAACAATGGGCCCTTGAGCTTGGTCTCAAGTAAGCAAACAAGAGATAAAGTACTCGCTTTTAACCATACACTTGCCAGAGTAAATTTTTCCAGAGTAAATTTTAAGCAAGATACTCCTTCCCCACCCGTAAGGTTGGAAATACTTTATTTCCCAAAGTTCTAACAAATAACGGTGTGCTCAAGAGATCTGAGTTAGGTGGGAGAGAAACAGCTCAGCAAGTAAAAGTGCGTGCTGTGTGAGCCTGACATAAAGTCATGGTGGAAGGAAAGAACCAGCTTTCTCCTGACCACCAATTAAATGAAACTTTCATTCTAGACATTTCAGTATGGATTTACTAACTTGGTTTGACAGAAATCCTGGGCTTGTGACATGGGTACAACTGGGTTTGTATGGAGGAGCAGGAAATGATTGACAGTTTAGAAGCATTCGCTGAAATACAGAAGACGCGATGGGAAGGTGGCCCAGTGGGTTAAAGTGCCTGCCACCAACCCAATGACCTGAGTTTAGTTCCCAGAACCCACAATGGAAGGACAGAATTGAGTCCTAAGTTATTCTCTAACTTCCACATAGATTCCAGGGCACACACAGATCACATATACATGTGCACACATAATAATAATAATGAATACTTTCTAGATTTATTCATTTATTTAATTATGTTATGCCTATGTGCTGGAAGGAGAAAAATCAGTTTTCTATAATGGAGTGTCACTGGGTGTATAAGCTGCACTCAGGCCCAGGAGTAGTTGGCCAACCCAAAATGAACTCGAGGGTTTTTTTCCTAATGGGCTTTCTTCTTCTTCCTCCTCCTCCTCCTCCTCCTCCTCTTCCTCCCCCTCCTCCTTCCTCCTCCTCCTCCTCCTCCTCTTCTTCCTTCTTCTTCCTCCTCCTCCTCTTCTTCTTCCTTCTTCTTTATCTAATTTCATTTTGTTTTGCCAGTTTTTGTCTTATTGACTTTTTGTTTTGATTTTTGTTTTTGTGTTGAGAGAGAGTGAGAGAAACAGAGAGAGAGAGAGATACTGCTTTAATCTGTAAAAGCTTTAAATTAAATAATGGAGTCATTGGCATAGGTCTAAGGGATAAGAAAACCAAGTATAAGCTGGGCCTGAGTGTAGCTTATACACCTATAGTTTGCCAATTTTTAATTTATCAACATGCTAACGTAGCATTTGTTAAGTACAGTTATTATATGTCAGGCTCTATGCTAGGAAACTGAGTTAAATGGCAGAACCATGGTTCGAACCCACTCCCATCTGATTCCAAAACTGCTGCTCTTTTGACAACACTAGACTGCCCCAATCCCCAAGTGCATCCTGGGAAAGGGCCTGAGGCAGTAGTGCCATGTCCTATATTTTGCATTGAAGTGGATTCTGCTTGCTGCCTGGCAATGACTGCTCCAGGACTACATAGCTGAACTAGAGGCTGTGTTCTAAGGACATTCCATAGTGGGTGTTGCTGTAACAATCTGATCAGACAACCTCTGCGTTGAGAATCTCAGTGGACATGTGCAGTAGGGACTTTGAATGGTCCTGTCACTAGAGCAGAGCTGCAGGTGTAGTTTGTCATGAGTCTTGTCAAATGTAGGATCTGGTACCCAGAGCACTAAGTCAACTTCTGGTTTCTCAACCTTCCACGTTTCTCTGTTCTTATAAGCACACTTTGACTTAAGTCAAAGCTTGCAAGCACTCACCTGTGTACCAGGTTTCTGTTTCCTCAAAGAACAGAAGGAGTCAACCCACTGGGAAAGCTGCTCCAAGGATGCCCAGGAACAAGTTACCAATTGTTTTGAGTTCCTTTCACCCTTCCATGAGAAGATCTTGGATCTGACACCAACTCTTGCATTCCCCAAGCCCACATATGATCCCATTACCATCCACACAAGAATCTTATTACACACAACATGCAAACTATGTTGAGTGCACTGAGGAGTTGAGCACCATATACTCTCTAGGTCAGTATAACCTCATTCTTCAACTTAAATCTGTCTCCAAAGTTCACACGTCCTCTTCATGTGAAGTAGAGAAGTCATTATAAAACCAAAGCAAGTTTCACAGACACACACACACACACACACACACACACACACACGCACACGCACACGCACACGCACACGCATGCGCGTGCGCACAGATGATAACAAAACAGAAGCAAAAAGCATGTACAGAATGTCCTGACTGTTTTGTGTCACCCCCAGCTAAAAGCATCTCACATATGTTCATTCATTTAGCACTAATAGCCGCCAGCAGTAGGCATTAGTAGTAGTCTTCCACACCCAGGCTTCAGAGGGCAGCACCCACGTCCCCTTCAAACTGGTTAGAAACACACATCTCTGGGCCCCACCAATATCTGATGGGAACTCTGAGCTCTGGGGTGGTTTTTATTTTCTGAGACAGGGTTTCCATGTGTAGCCCTGGCTGTTCTGGAACTCACTCTGTAGATCAGATTAGCCTCAAACTCACAGAGAACTATCTGCCTCTGCTTCCTGAGTGCTGGGATTAAATGCTTGGACCACCACTGCCAGGTTTCTGGGATGTTTCCATAAGCTCTCCAGGCACACACAGGGCAAAAGACCACTCCAGCAGAAGCTGGTGTTGGTCCAGCATCCTTGTTGTTCTGCTGCTCAACAAGAAATGGAAAATGCATTATATAATCAAATGAGCAAGGCAATAACAACAAAAACACCCACAAACACGAAAGTCTGTGTAAGCTCACTGCGAACCCAACTTCTGATGTGGGGACTTTCAGCTTTTCCACCCTGAGAACTAGAGAGGGAGGGAGGAAGGGGAGGGAGCAGTTTCCAGGGTTACAGCTACTACCAGGTGGCCTTTACTTTTTGTTTTTAACCAGACTTCCGCTGTTGCCTGCCCAGCCTCCTCTGACTTTGGGCTTGCAGGCAAGCCCAGTGACTCTGTGCTCCAAAGCTGTGGAATCTGGTCTGGCTGTGTTTACGGGTCTGGTTGACCCATTTTCACTTGTGTTGTTCTCAGCATAATAGGGCAACCACTGGATTGCCTACTTCAAGTACTGTGAATTCCACAAAGAATT